CCCCGTTCCAGGACTGAAGCACTCAATCTCTTCGCACATAGCAGTGTTGGCAGCTGTCAGTTGACAGCTGACTCCACTAACTCAAGAGCCACCCCATGTGGCCGACCCCCACCGTGCGGTAATGCATGCATCCGATTACACACGGCCCGCAGTCACCCCCAGTCCTTTCCCCAGGCTGCTCCCCAGTAATGCACACGCCCCTGAACTCGAGCCTATCGCTCAGGAGCCCCAGCTTGCAGGGGGCTGACTCTGTGGCTCGAATTATAACAAGAAGAAAACCAAGAAATGACCAACAAGTAGGCAGGTCCCGGGTTCCTTCCCTCTTCGGTCTTTTGCGAGAGACAGGGGCCTGCTCATTCCAGAACCCTCTCACCGTGCCCCTCCTCACATTGCGACACACGGACACCCAGCTCCCCCACGACAGCAGGGGGCGCTGTAGGCGGCAGCACCTCCCTCTGGGTCCTGCAGCTGCAACCCTACCGTCTAGCCCCTCGGTGTCGGCCTGCGGGGTGAAGGCTAAGGGGCAGGTTGGGTGAAGCGGACGAATCTGTGGAAAAGCAGCAGCTGGTCCTGCGGGCTCCTCCCAGGTTCCCAGACCGGCTTCCCCCTGGGGGGAAGGGGCTGGGTCCCGAAAGCAGAATCCTGCGATCCCAGGCATGGGCCCTGCTCTGTGGGCCTGCCTTCTGCCCCTTCTGCTGGGCGCCGCAGGTAGGCCCTGGGCGGAGGCGGGAGGGACGGAGGCGGCCTCGTGTCTGAGAGATGGGACCTGGCATACCACGGAGTAGGGGTCAGCGACAAAGGGCATGGAGCTCGGCTGCAGCGGCCACGGAGGAACCTCGGAACAACATGCCGAGTGTAGGAATGGACACCGAAACATGATGCCCCTCGCGTGAAATATCCCTGCATGTGTGAGAGGAGGAGACTGTGTGTGTGTGTGTGTGTGTGTTATAAGGGAACGACATTTCTGTTCAAAGTGATGAAAACGTTTGAAAATGGACCGAGGTGACTGCTGCGCAATGCAGAGAATATAATTAATGTCTCTGAATTTTACACGCAAAAAGTTTGAAATGTTTTGTTACATGTGTGCCGTCACAAGAAACAGCATCACATAGAGGAACACAACACTTCACTAAGTGGAAGCTGTTTCTGAGCGTGGTGAGCTGGGATGGTGTCATCAGGGTTGTATCCTCTCACTGTACTTATTCAATCTATGTGCTGAGCAAGTGATCAGAAAGGCTGGATGAGATGAAGAAGAATGGCTATCAAGATTGGAGGAAGGCTTACTAACAATCGGATAGATTATACAACCTTGCTTGCTGAAAGCAAGGAGGACTTGAAGTACTTACTGATGCCGATCAAGGACTACAACCTTCAGTATGGATTACAACTCAATGTAAAGACCAAAATCCTCACAATAGACCAATAGATAACATCATGATACATGAAGAAAAGACTAAATTTTCCAAGGATCTCACCTTGCTTGGAACCACAATCAATGCTCATGGAAACAGCAGTCAAGAAATCAAAAGAGGGGAGAAAGTGGGAATCAATCACAATGATCTACATATAACCCCCTCTCAGGGGGACGGACAACAGAAAAGTGGGGGGAGATAGCAGTCAGTGTAAGACGTTGAAAAAATAATAATTTATAAATTATCTAGGGTTCAGGGGCGGGGGGGGGATGAGCTGATACCGAGGGCTCAAGTAGAAAGAAAATGTTTTGAAAATCATGAAGGCAACAAATGTACAAATGTGCTTGACACAATGGATGTATGTATGGATTGTGATAAGAGTTGTATGAGCCCCCAATAACATGATTTTTTTTTTAAATGGAGAGAGCACTATAAGGGGGAAAAAAAGAAAATGATGATGGCAACATATGTACAAAGGTGCTTGACACAATGGATGGAAGTATGGACTGTGATAAGAGCTGTAACAGTGCCTAATAAAATGATTTAATAATAATAAAAGAAATCAAAAGACCAGGGAAGCAACAAGCCCACATGGAACAAACACACCAGCCTGTGTAATCATGAGGTATTAAAGGGAAGAGGTATCAGAAGTTCAAAAACACAACCAACTCGATGTGAAGGGGCGTGGATTCAATGGAGACCCCAAATCCACCTGCAAGATAATTGGACAGTCCCTGTCAGAAGGGCCACACGGAATGGATGATAAAGCCAGGGTGCAGTATGATACTGATGAACCACTTAACTATACTCTAGTTCTTGAATATTTCCTCTCCTTACTAGTAACGTTTTTATGTGTTACCTCATCAACCACATTATATTTTCTAGTGTTCATTTGTATATTTAAGATCGCTTGGTACATGAAAGTCAAGATAGATGACCCATCAGAGACTGTGACGGGAGTAATGGGTCCCTGAGGGCACAGGAAATGGGAGGGGGGCAAGGAAGGGGAGCTGACAGCATTGCTGATTACATAACCCCACAGATGGGATTGAACAACAGAATTGTATGTGTATGAACATATTGGAATGGGTAAGATATGTCAGCAAAACTTAATAAAAAATGAAATCAAAAGACAGTTGCTCTGGATGAATGAGATCTCTTCAAGTGTTAAAGAGCAAGGATGTCACTTTGAAGACTAAAGTGCACTTGACCCAAGCCGTGGTGTTTTCAGTTGCCTCACATGAATGTTGGACAATGGCAGGAGGATTGCCACATCTGAATGACAGTGCTGGAGAAGAACGTGGAAAGTACCATGGACTGCCTGAAGAACAAACAAACCTGCCTTGGGAGAAGTCCAGCCAGAAGGCTCTTTGGAGGTGAGGATGCCAAGACTTTAATCTCACATATTTAAGCCATCTATTAGTAGTTCTTTTTTCTAATAGAAAAGAACAGACTTGGTAGAGAAAGAGTCAGCAAAAAAAATAAGCAGACACTCAATGAGATGAACTAATGAAGTGGGTTCAACAATGCGATCAAACAGCAAATGTGAGGATTGTATGTGAACTTAAATGCAGTGCACCCCAGTTTGCAAATGGCTATATGGATGGCAGTGACACCCCAAAATCCATTTGAAGGTTCCCCACATAAATTAAGCCTCCATTGAATTATTTTTGTTCATCAACCAAGGATGTAGATAATCTTGCCCTTGGGTAGAATTCCTTGGAAAGTGGATCACCTCCAACCCTCTGGGCAGCCCAGGGAGGGCCAGTCACTTAGAGGCTTGCCTAGGTGGGTCCTTAACCCATACTGGGTCACTGTACTGGGGCAGTACAAGGGGCTGCAGGGTCATGACTCATACCATATCAGTTGAGCCCTGATTGCCTTGGTCAGACCAATCGTGAAAGCCCTTCTGTCTAACAATGTGTATGTCCTAATCATGATCCTGTTCCTGCTCCTGTAATCTCACCTGTCACTGTGATATGTTGACCTGCCACCAATCATGAATCTGTGATAGTACCCTTTCGTCCATGCCTATCTAACTGGTGTTGTGACTAGAATCCATAGATGTCATGCTAATGGCTGGGTTGACTAGAGAAACAAATCCAGTATACTCATATATGTGCAAGAAACATTTATATCAAGAAGTAATTGTATGCCAGGAAAACAGCCCAGCCCAGCCCAAATTAAGTCCGTAAGTCCAATACCAGTCTGTAAGTCCCTCTTCAGTCTCAAGAACCACATGCTATGATGCAGAATGCAGGAAGATCACAGGCCAGTGGGTGCAAAGTCTTGTGGATCCAATGGAGTGGATGCATCTCCAGGGCTCTGGCAGGTTTCAGAGTGGCTCACCAGCACGAAGGAGAAGGCAGTGGGGGTGGGTAGGAGGAAGATTCCCAGGGCCCTCCTTATGAGGTCATGGTCACAAGGAGGTATCATCAGGCACTGTGGCCTGATTGATAGGCTAGACTCCGCCCCTACACTTTTATATATCTTCAAGTTGACATGAAATTATGTAACTACACAGCATCCGGTACCTGTGTCTTTGTCCTTTTTAACACTTAATAAAGGTTCTCCTTAAATTGTATTTGAGATCGAGGTTGTGTTTGTACTCTAAAACAGGATGGAGCAGGACACAGCTGTGTCTCATTTTGCTGTACATTAGATCACTATAAGTCAGAACTTAACAGCAACAGTGAGGATGGCCTCAGTAGAGTCACTTGTACACAAGCTTGAAGGTAATGCTTAAGTTAGCGAAGAGGAAAAGAGCCTTCTAGGATGAGGAAGTCAAAAGTATAGACTGAATCCAGTGTGTTCAGACATAAATCTGTTCATCAATCTTGTAGCCAACCCTGATTTAAAAGCAAGGTAGGTAGAGAGTAAATAACAAGGCAAAATATACAAATACTGCAAAATGCCATTAAAGAAATGGCACAAGGTAACAAACTATGTATACACCTCCAAAGCTCCTGAGGACAGCATTTTATTTACACATATCATGGGAGCCCTGGTGGGGTAGTGGGTTAAATGGTAGGAGTGCTAACCACAAAGTCAGCAGTTTAAAACCCCTAGCCACTCTCCATGGGAGAAAGGATGAGGCTTTCTACTCCCATAAAGACTTACAATCTCAGAAGCCCACAGGAGCAGGTCTACCCTGTCCTACATGGCCACTATGCACCAGAATCAACTCCATGACAATGAGTTCAAATCTGAGTTGGAACATACCCGAAACTCCTAATGACAAGCTTGAATCATCAGGCAATTAAACCACAGTTTGCACATGTCGCTAAAGAAGCAGGTAGGCTTATACGTATCAAGATGCCTACTAATGGGCTGACATTTATAAGAATCTGCCCTTTGATACCAATCCAAGGAATTTAAAGAAATGGAAGCCTCGTTGTTGAATGAATGTAGCCAGAAGATGTGTTTTATATCAATAACTCAATGTGTTTTTCTTAGGGTCTCAGTCAAATGCATCTGCCAATAATGAGTATCTGCAATCTGGTGAGTGGTCTCAACTTGGGTCCAGGAGCCCCTGGGTTTGGACCTGGAACTGGATGGGGCATGGAGGATAGGTTCTGGGAATAGATGGGAGTTTGGGGATGGTGGGAAGGTAAGAGGTCAAACGGTTTGCACTTGGAGACTATTAAAGGTTGGCGGTTCAAACCCACCCAGCCATGTCACACAAGAAAGATCTGGTGACCTGCTCCAAAGAGTGCTGTCAAGAAAACACTGCTCTGCAGTAATAACACAGGAGGTTGTCAGGAGTGGGGAGCGACGAAACACCAAGGAGCTCTTGTTCTGGGGAGAGGGGACCAGAAGACGGAAACACCCAGATTTCCACGTTTCCCTCTCTCCTCTTTCTCTAGTGTGTGGACGACCAACATTCACAAGCCGCATCATCGGTGGGCAGGATGCTGTCAAGGGGCGCTGGCCTTGGCAGGTCAGCATACGCCTGGGCATGGACCACGTCTGTGGTGGTTCCCTCATCAGTGACCAGTGGATCCTGACCGCAGCACACTGCATAACATCGTGAGTTGTACCTAGGGTCTAGCAAGTAGCTAGTTTCTCAATAAACACCCACAGGACTTCATGGATAAACCAATAGACAAATGAAGGGAGGGCAAAAGGAAATCTAGGTCCATGTGAAGTATCCATGATTTCATCACTTCTGCTAAAAGTGGTGGTGGGGCAAAGAGTGTGTGAGAGCAGCAATGAAACACCCAATATTTCTCTGGTTCCATGAGGATTTCTCACCCCCCACTATCATGACCCCAGCCCTGCCTTTCACTGCAGACTAGACAGGAACATGGACACAGGTACAGATACGAGCTTACTCCACATGGATTCCAGGTCAGATAAACCCCTCTGGAACAGAAATGGGAGTAGCGATACCAGGAAAGTAGGCGGAAGGTGGGGGAAGGAGGGGAAGAAGGGGGAACTGATAGCAATGATTGACACGTGGCCTCACCTTCCCCCCCAGGGAGACAAACAACAGAAACCATGGGGTAAGGGAGACAGCGGTTGGTGTAAGATATGAAAATAAAAATAATTTATAATTTTTTAAGAGGTCACCAGGGTGGAAGGGGGGTTGGGAGGGAAAAAAGAGGAGCTAATACCAACTGCTCAAATAGAAAGTAAATGTTTAGAAAATAATGATGGCAACACATGTACAAATGTGCTTGATACAATTGATGTATGGATTATTATAAGAGCTGTGAGAGCCCCCAATAAAATGATCTTTAAAAAAAGAAGTGTGTAAAACACTAACAGAGGGAAGGAATAGGTATAAGAATGAGGTATCTCAGAAACCAAGCTCAAGAAAACAAACGTATTGCCATCAAGTTGATTTTGACTCATAGTGACCTATAGAACCAGTTAGAACTGCCCCTGTGCAATACTGAGACTGTAACTCTCTATGGGGAGTATTAACCTTGCATCACATAACCAGTACACCACCCAGCCCCTCCTATCTCAGAAGCAGTAAGAGAGAATTCCCAGGACCACAAAGAAAGCAGAGCTACCAGGAGAGCACATTTAAGTGGCACAGACAGCAAAGACTGCCACACCAAGACCAGAGGCACCAGAGCAGAGGCTCCTCAGAGCTGACATCGTGAGAAATAAATCCTAAACAGATCCATCTTTAGCAATTAAGGGAACAAAAGGCCAAGAAGTTACTAAGTAGCCAAAGCATAAACTGATAGCTGATGTGGGGAATGGATGGAGATCATGTTCATCAGATTAATCAAGGGAAAGGGGAGAGAACCTGCACCGTGCTCCAGGTAGGAATTATAAATGATAGGTGATAGGTGGGAAAGATTGTTAACCAGAAAGGACTCAGCCAATGAGGAGCCAGGGGAGGGAATCGAGAACTAGGGAATATATAATGTTCTGCACCAGCCCATTTTGTCTCTGAGGCCTGGGCGCTGTAAATTGGCTAATGAAGCTGTGGCAGTTACATAAGTTCATTGTGGTGTTGTGTCAACTTGATAAATAAGTGTAGGGGTGGAGTCTAGCCTGTCAATCAGGTCACAGCCTAGTGATGCCTCTTTGTGGGTGTGGCCTTCTCATGAGGATTCTGGGAACTTCCTCTCTTTCTCCTTGGAGGCAGCCACACTCTCTCTGCTTTCACCAGCCTGTTGACAAGCCATGTGGATCCACACTGAGACCTGTAAGAGCCCTGGAGATGCTGTCACCGCCACTGGATCCACAAGACTTTTCACCCACCAGCCTGGATCCTCCTGCATCGTGCATCATTGCATGTGGCTGCATGAGTGTGAAGAGATAGTCATGGACTAGTATTGGGTCATTTATTTATTTTGACTAGTATTGGGTTTATGGGCTAATCTCAGATTTATGTACTTGATCTGGACTGGGATGGGATGTTCTCTTGATATACAATTAACCTTTGATATAAAGCTCTCTCTTACACACAGGAGAGTCCCTGGATTTGTCTCTCTAGTCAACCTGGTCTAACACAGAAGCCTTGGGTTTATTTAGAAGGATTGGATTTCTTGAGTTGGATTTCTTGTTCATCAGTAAACACTTGTGATTTCCCATCAGTAACTTCATATGGGATAAGATGGTTTGTCCTAGTTCTATCTCTGGAGACCCATCAGAGTATAATTCAAGCCGGAAGGTTTACCAACCGACCAGTTACCAAGAGGTATTGAGACAGTATTAGTATCTGAGGGTAGACAACATTTCTCACAACACCACAAGAGACTACAGAGTGTGTGAGGCCGAGCTGCGGGTTGACTTTCTGGGGGCAGTTCATGTGGCTGACAAGCTGAGGATCAAGAGAGGCAGGGCTGCTGGCTGAGGGGAGGCACCAATCTAGACCAATGACTTCAGCCTTACTGTTTGCTGATCCCGATTTATGGTAACTGATTCAGCTCCCGAATAAACCTCCATAAATTTGAGTGTTATCTGTGAGTTCTGTGTGGCCAATACAACAAATTATCAAATCTAACAGAAAAGTCGAGTGTCATGGAGGAACGGTTGGTGTCGGAATGGGGTAAAAGAAAGATGGCGGGTAGAGGCATGTCTAACATCAGCACTGTGGCAATTGGACTTGGGTGGTTGGATTTGGTCTGATTTGGCCCTCATGTCATTTTCTCCACCCCCTTCAACTCTAGGAGCTCCTACGGCATAAAAGCAGAAAAAGAAAATACAGAGAGGCACTATGTCACATGCTTTTGTTATTTTTTGAAAATCATCTCAAAATTCAATGCAACAATTTGTTCTAAGCTCTTCTGCATCACAAACAACTATCTCTCTGAGCCAACACTGCCATGTGGTTAGTGGCCCTGTGAAGAGGCCCACGTAGTAGAGAATTGATGTCTACAGCCCACAGTCAGAGAAAGCCCAAGGCCTATCAAGAGTCACGTGAGTAGGGATGTAACTCACCCTCAGTCAAGCCTTGAGGTGAGCCTTTGGCCCGACCTTGACTACCACTTCATGAGGAATTCTGAGTTAGAGGTACCTGACTCAGAAGTTGCACCTGACTCTTGACCCAGGGAAGAGAAATTACGTTCCAAGCCCCTAGGTTTCAGGGGAATTTGCTACTCTCCAGTCCACGATGGGCACACGCAGTGGTCAAACTGCCAGACCTTTTTCATAGCAACACCGACAGCTCAAAGAAAATGGCAAAATAACTTCAAAACACTGTGGAAAAAGGCTTTTCCAACCTAGAATTCTACCTAACACACATCCATCCCGTGTGGGGTAGAATTAAAACACTTTCAGATATGTAAAGCAGCAAGCATGCTACCACTCCGACCAACTTCTCAGGAAGCCCCAGAAGAGTGTGCCTCACCAAAAAGAAGAGGCGCAGGCAACCAGGAGCGCATGGGATTCCAGAAAGAAGGTCTACACCACAGAAGAGACAGACTCTCAAAGAAAAGCTTACAGAAAAGTGGCACGAAGATAGTTCAGGCCAGTGGGTCTCAAGCTCACTCACTCACTGCTATTGAATTGATTCTGACTGAGAGCAACCCCATAGGGCAGGGTGGGTTTCTGAAGCTGTAAGTCTTTATGGAGTGGAATGCCTCTTTCTCCTGAGGGGGAGCTGGCGCTTTTCAACTAGTAACTTTTGGATTAGCAGCCCAACACTTACCCCTGATGCCACCAAGCCTCCTTGGAAAAAGTGAATGGAGGTCTCCAAAAAAGATCGTACTCATAGAACGTCTGAATCTTGAGAGCAAATTTACTACTCAGGAGGACAGTGTGGGGAATGGATGATGGCTTGACGATGGGTATGTAGAATACCGAGAGGCCTTGCTGGTATAGTGGATTACAAGTTGTGTTGCTAACCTCAAGGTCAGTAGTTCAAAACCACTAGCCAATCCTCAAGAGAAAGACGAGGCTCTCTGTTCCTGTAAACATTTATGTTCTTGAAAACCCACAGGAGCAGTTCTATTCTGTCTGGAGGGGTCGGTGTTAGTCAGAATCAACTTAATGGCCATGAATTTTGTTTCAGATATAGTATACCAAAAGAAGCCTCCGTGGCAGAGTGGGTTACATGTTGAGCTGCGAACTGCAAGGTCAGCTGTGCGAACCTACCAGCCACTCTGCAGGAGCAAGATGACGCTGTTCCCACAAAGATTTACAGCGTTGGAAACCAACAGGGGCAGTTCTACTCTGTCCTATGGGGTCACTATGAATTGACTTGGTGGCAGTGAGCTTATTTTTGTCTTAATATGTAGAATACCAAAGGTCCCTGGGTGACACACACGGCTTCATGTTGGTGGTTTGAAACCTCTCCAGTGGTACTTGGGAATAAAAACCTTGAGATCTGCATTCATCAAGATTATAGCCAAGGAAACCCTTTGGAGTTAGTTCTACTCTGTAACACAGGAGACTGCTGTGAGTCGAAATTAGCTCAATGGCAATGAATTTGGATCTGTTTGATTTTTAATAAAGAATACTAAAAAGGCAAACTAATGAGACCCATACACTATTAACTCCATGAGAAGCAGAAAGTTTTACAAGAAGTGAAATCACCATACCTAATGTGATTAATGCTTATTTATAAAGTCACAAGAATATACACAGTAACTCCTGACCTAAAATACTGGGGGCAGGTGCTACCGAGAAAGAACTACACGGATTGTAAGCAACAGACTGGACAGAGTGAATTCACGGTGGTGGGGCAGAGAACTGTTTCCTATTCATTTCTATTTCATGTATTTCCTAAGTCTGACCTAGCTTCTTGATGGTGTAAGTGGTGAATAGGTATAACTCTGGCAGAACAGGTGATAAGGAACGGTGAAAATTGAGCATATTGGTAATGGCGAACCCCTGGGAAATAGGAGAGGTAAGTGAAAATGCCCAGGGGAGCGTGCAGAATAAACCCCGGGTCACGGACGGGGACTGGTGACCATAGAAACCATAGACAAGAGAGTGTAGTCAGGGCGGGAGGGAGGAAAAGTAGGGAAAGCATTCATAATTCAAGATGGAAGCGCCTTCATTGATTACCAATCTGGCCCCCTCCTTTCTGGATTGCCCATGTGCAGCTAGCTCTGGCCCCGAGAAAGCACACACCATGTTCCAATTCCTTCTCCTTGTCTTCCTCTTTAGGTCCTGGAGCAGCTTTGCATTCACTGTATGGCTGGGCACAGTAAAAGTAGACCATTCAAGTGACAGCTGGCAATACTATGTGTCCAAAGTCGTCATCCACCCCAATTTCAGAGAAAAAACTGCAGACATTGCTTTGTTAAAGCTGTCTTCCCGAGTCAGTTTCACGGCGCTCATCCTGCCTGTCTGCTTACCCTCTATCAAAGAGCACTTGCCACTTCCAAGCTCCTGTTGGGTGGCCGGATGGGGGAGAACACAGGAATGGGGAGGTGAGACGGGTTAATTTACACAGATGCTGGGCCCTTTTGTACCTACTCATTCACTTTCTGGGCATATCACTGCTGTGGCCAATACTTTGGAATGAAACCAGATCAATCTATTGATATTAAGTGTATCTTTAAAAAACATTTATATATTTATTTACTCTGATATCCTGCCTGGGTTCTAGCTATAGCTGGGGAACAAATACTAACAATAGAAATGTAGGGTTATTTCTCCCAATTAGAAGTTAATCAATGTAAGTTAATCAATGTAAGGTTGGTGACAATCTAGTATTTTTATCTGATGGAAAAGTGCTGTGTCAATTCTTCCCCAGGTTGGAGTTGAGACAAGATAGAAACTGGTGAGCAGAAACTGAAATGGTAAAGAAAAAAAAAGAGAAAGAAATGGTTTTAGATGTCACATGACTTAGCCTAGCAGAACTCATTAGGACTACTCTTTATTTAGAACATTAGGAATGCCCCACATTTGTACATTAGAAAAACCTCAGGCATTCCAAAGGCAAGCAAATTGTTTTGAATTAGCTATTAATTTGAATGAATTGTATCAGCAGAGATGATTAGAAAGTGATAGTATTCTGCTTTGGGGGTGTCCCATCCAGACTCTTCTATATATTGTGAATGAATAGTGAACCACACCTTTACAGCTTTGTAGCCTTTCTTTCTTATTTATTTCTATAGGTCCTGATTTCTACTCCATTCTCCAGGAAGTCGAATTGCCCATTTTAGACCACAAGGCATGTGAAAAAATCTACAACCCAATCGGTTCCTTTTTTCCAAATATGGAACCAATCATCAAAGATGATATGATTTGTACTGGAGATACTAAGACTAGGAAAGACAGCTGCAAGGTGAGGATTTGGTCTGAAGTTGTGTTTGTTTGTTTGTTTGTTGAGTCAGAAGGGAAGGGAACTGACAAAAATTCTTTTGTTTGAGGGAACCCTGTATATGTAACCTTTATCTATAAATGTAGTTTCTTAAACTGTCAATATAGGTCAATGTTAACCACGGTCGTTGAACTTTTACAAAAAGACCTGTGAAATTTACAAAGAGGAATTGCTAAAACCCTGATGGGGACTGAGCATGATAGTGGGACAGGAGGATAGTCAAGGGAAATAGAGGAAAGAGCTGGGAGGCAAAGGGCATTTAGAGAGGTCTAGATAAAGACATGTACATATGAAAATATATTTATATATGAGGACAGGGAAATAGATCTATGTGGCTATATTTATAGGTTTAGTATTAAGGTAGCAGAAGGACATTGGGCCTCTACTCAAGTACTCCCGCAATGCAAGAATACTTTCTTCTATTAAATTGGCATTATATGGATATGACAAAATAACAATTTATAAACTATCAAGGGCTCATGAGGGAGGGGGGAGCGGGGAGGGAGGGGAAAAATG